TTTTTCCAGTTAAGTGCAGGGAGTGGGGGCTCGAAATACGGCACAGCACACCCACTGATTCCAGTAACCAGGGCTTTTACAATATGAACTTGTTCTACTGGTAGAATCCTTAGTTAAGCTCTCTGCCCCAGGGTGCTACATTGCGGGGAGGTGCTGGGGAGCCCGTCTCTAAGGACTGCTCAGCTCTATGTCGCAGGGTGCGCTGTGGTCTCCAGCCGTTTTCGAGCCCAGCGCACCTGATTCCGAGCAGTTTTAAGCTGTTCAGTGAGGAGCCTACATAGTTAGGTGCTAAGAATAAATTCGCAGAGACCAAAGACCCAAATAGAAAGTTATAAGGTGATTTAAACAAGGATATGGAAAGGGGAGGGAAAGGAGGCACCGTTGAGCCAGGCGGAAAAAATGCACTGGCTCAGTCCGGAAGGGAAATCAAAGGGTTTCGTTTTTTAAAAAAACTGAAGTGTCTGTTGTCCAATCAGACGGGCGCGATCTCGGCAGCCAATCAGGAAGCAGATCTTAGCTACATATTATCGTTCCCGAGCAGAGGTTCGTAGCAGTCTGTCCAAGCTTGTCGCTGGAGTAGTTGCCGAGAATGGCCCGCACGAAGCAGACTGCGCGCAAGTCGACCGGTGGCAAAGCGCCCCGCAAGCAGCTAGCCACCAAGGCGGCCCGCAAGAGCGCGCCCGCCACGGGCGGCGTGAAGAAGCCGCACCGCTACCGGCCCGGCACCGTGGCGCTGCGCGAGATGCGGCGCTACCAGAAGTCGACGGAGCTGCTGATCCGCAAGCTGCCCTTCCAGCGCCTGGTGCGCGAGATCGCGCAGGACTTCAAGACGGACCTGCGCTTCCAGAGCTCGGCCGTGATGGCGCTGCAGGAGGCCAGCGAGGCCTATCTGGTGGGGCTCTTCGAGGACACCAACCTGTGCGCCATCCACGCCAAGCGCGTCACCATCATGCCCAAGGACATCCAGCTGGCCCGCCGCATCCGCGGCGAGAGGGCCTAGAGACTCTGGGAAGGCTGCATTCATTCCATGTAACCGCCAAAAACCTAAAGGCTCTTTTAAGAGCCACCACAGTCTCGATAAAATGAGCTGTTGTTTGCTCGACTGCCTTAATGCGTTTAAAATTTAATGTGGGCTTTTGTATTTCCCTGCTTGCGCTTACCCGTGGCGGGGAGGAGGGATTCTCTAATGCCCGGGTCAGTAAGTTCAGTGTGTACTATCGCACCGCCGCCAGCCCCTCACACAGCGAACTAACCTATATAACCGCAAAAAGACAAGGAAAAATAATAGATTCAAGAAAAAAAGGGGGGAGAGGGAGAAAATAAAAAGAAGTGCCCAAGCGATGCCCAACAGCATTTTTGATAGTAACAGCACAACTGATAGCAACTCTTTCTGCGAAAATGTGGGTGGCTCTGAAAAGAGCCTTTGTGTTCAAAGTAGCCGTTAGATAGGTTTTTTCGTCTCCGTTTAACCGCCGAAGCCGTAGAGAGTGCGGCCCTGGCGCTTGAGCGCGTAGACCACGTCCATGGCGGTGACGGTCTTGCGCTTGGCGTGCTCCGTGTAGGTGACGGCGTCGCGAATCACGTTCTCCAGGAAGACCTTGAGCCCCCCGCGAGTCTCCTCATAGATGAGGCCGGAGATGCGCTTCACGCCGCCGCGCCGAGCCAGGCGGCGGATGGCCGGCTTGGTGATGCCCTGGATGTTGTCCCGCAGCACTTTCCTGTGGCGCTTGGCGCCACCTTTCCCCAGCCCCTTGCCTCCTTTACCACGACCTGACATATTCACAAGCAGCTTGCTCTCGCCTGTGTGTAGGGAGACTGGCGGAGAGCGCGGTATATATTGCCTGGGGTCCGACCTGATTGAGAACTGAAGAAAGAAAAAAAGGCGCGAGACTGGCGCTTCTCCCCTCCCCCACCCTCGCTTGCCTTCTTGCCCTGTGAGCCTGAGGCGGCTCCGGCGCAGGAGGGCCGCGGTTTGCTGAGGGGGGGGCATCATCCCCTCTCCCAGCCGTAGCCGCTGTCGGAAGAACTGATCTCCGCTTTTGGAGAGTTTTAGACCCGCTAGGCAGCGCCAGCACCGCGCTCAGTGCCGCTGCTCTTTTCCCGGCAGGGTGCACCTCTCCCCAAGATGCCCCTTAGGACAGGAGCTTTTTCGCGTGCAGTGTGCGCGTCATGCTCGTGTTTTCCTTTCACATCGTTGTGATCCCACTTGTGGCAGACACCGCCCTGAGTTTTCGGCGCGGGGGACGGGACGGGGACACCCTGTTCTGTTTCAAATAAGAAACTGCAGCAATATCTGGCCAACCGGCTTCACAGACACATCCCTCCTCTCCCTCTCCTCTCTCTTTTCTCCCATATCGCCCGCCCCTTTCCTCGTCGTCTTCTCCGCCATCTTGCAAACCTTAAACAAAGGAGGGCTGCCGGCAACCGGTCTGCTAGAGAATGTCTCGAAACTGAATCCCGAGAGTAGCCTCGCAGGCATTATATTTTTTTCTTCAATTCCTTTCAATTATTTATTGCTAGTGCTCTCAAGGCCGTCTTATGAGTTACTGGCGTACAGGAATGAAAGGCTCTAAAATCTAGACTCCTTTCCGGCTTCAGAAAGGGCTCTAGCCCGTGTACCATTTGTAATGTATTGTTTGAAGCACCGTCTGTACTATAAAGGGATCGTTTTTCAGCTATGTACCTGGAAGTGGAGAAAAAGATGCAAAAATACAGGAAATTGAGAAAGTTATTCTCTCTCTCAAGATGCCTCGGTTCTCTATATAAATGTTTATAGTACTCGACAATGTTTTTTTTATTTTCAAAAATTCCCTCTCCCCTCCTTTAAATTCTCACTTCCAGGGCACTCAAGAATTATTGGGGTGGACTGTTCATCTCTTGTACTCTCAGGTTAGAATGATTGAACTTTTTTGTTCATTTAAATGAATCCTGAAATTCTGAATAGGTTTGTTTTTCATTATGCTTTGCTTCCATCTTGTGGCTTTTCTGGTTCATTCATTTTGAGTAGCAGAAGCAGAAATATAACTTAAGATAGGAATTCAGAGAGAGAGAGAGGAAAGGGTTCATTTTAGTTTGTCTCCTGATCTGATTTTTTTCTTAGTCTAACTCATTTGTCTCTTACCTCACAAATATTATGGTAATTATCATTTTATAAAAGGTATTACAGAACACTCAGGTGGTAGCAGGTGTTTTATATACTAACTGTTCCCCACAATATATCATATCATCAGAAAAATTAATGGAACCAGAAGTGGTTAAGGATGCTACCCAAAAATGTTCAACATCTAATTTGTAACCCCTGTGTTATATTCATTGTATGTGTTTGATCTTATAATTTGTTTTCCTGGGAGGTCTATTTAACACCAAATAATCTTAGTAGGAGGTTTTTCAACCTTACTTGAAGAGATAGCTATGTGAATAATAACAGGTATTTGCCTTGTTTTACCAACATTTTTAGGGATGTTAAAATACTTTGGATTGTTTCTCTATGAAATCAGTTAGATTAAGGCCTTCCTCAAAGAGCTGGGTTTTTTTAATGTTTAAAGTGTATCTCAGAAGACTGCAGGGGTTTGGGTTGTAGCCGTGTTGGTCTAAGGACATAGGCAGACAAGGTTCCTTGGGTGAATTTGATATGTTTTATTAGACCAACCCAAATGGTTGGAGAATAGTTATTAAGCAAGCTTTCGGGTTCAAAAACCCTATGTCAGGCTAAGGAAGCTTCAGCAGTAGGAAGAGCACACATCAACTGCTGAAGCTTCCTTAGCCTGACGAAGGGTTTTTGAACCCGAAAGCTTGCTTAATAAATATTCTCCAACCATTTGGGTTGGTCTAATAAAAGATATCAAATTCACCCAAGGAACCTTGTCTCTCAGAAGACTATACTTTAGAAACTCTCCAGAGTCAAATGGAGGACTTGTGGGGCAATGACACACACACATACATTTTCAACATAGTCTTAGAAAGTCCTAATAGGTCATGTAAACAATACAAATAAAACAAAAAAGATGCTTGAAACAATAACCTTTGTAAGGAGGAACATTTGAAAACCAATTTGACACCATATTTGAGGATAAATCAGCTTTTTGAAACGCTCAGCAATCACGTAATAGTTTTGACAAAAATATTTTTCTCAAGACCTATTGAACTGGTTTAAGTGACAAGAGAGTTAGTCTATGGATGAGTACCTTTGAAAAATCTTACCTTTGGAATATCTGCTTTGTTTTTGTCTATGTATGCTTAAAAAGAAGGCATAACTTGAACTATGCTGTATGATTCCCAGTCCATTGTCTCCATAATGTTGGCAGCAATGTCTACAACTATTGGTATTTTCAAAATAAATGATATCCAGGTCCTTTTAGTAAGGACAGATTAGTAGAGCACTTCCACAGGTTGTGTTTTTGTTTTCACATAAACCTGTTTGAGCTCCTTGCCTTTGGTGTGACCCTCTTCATCCATTTGCTGAACTGTGCATTCATATCTCTGTTTATAATAGTGCTGGTTCAAGAAGAGTTTGCCATCTCTTCTCCCCACATGTCAAGCAGATCCAAAATTTCAGTAAGGAGCCAGGGAATGTGAGACCCATAGCTGGTATAAGTCTGCCATTATATCAGTGGTATCGTGCCAAGGCATAAAGCCCTGGGACTATGAAACCACAAATAGACTGTTCCTGACCATTATTAAAATCAAATTTTTATCAAATTAATTTATTTTAAATAATTTTATCAAATTACATCAAATTAATTGAGCAGTAGGTAAATAGAAATGTTGGTCCTAAGGGTAATGAAAAGCAGTGTGGGAGGATTTCTGAGCTAGTTCAAAAAGATATATATCCACACAATCTTATTCTTCATTAATTTATATCAAAATGAACTTTGCCTACTTTCAGATTTCTATCAATCAGTTCATTCAGACTTAATTACTTTCAGAGTTCTCACTATCAGTTAATTAATAGAATCAGCTAGATGCAATTTTAAAATAGCTGTATTTTATTTTTGTATCATCAGCACTACTTTTATTTCTATAACAGATTTGTATTAGCAATTTTCAAAGATCTTAAGTCAAAATGTATGTAACATTTGGAGAGAATTCAGAAGAGGGTAATAAAAATAGTTAGGGGAATGGGGCACATGACTTATGAGGAGAGGCTGAGGGAACTTGAATTATTTAATCTGCAAAAGAGAAGACTGAAGGGGATTTGATAGCAGCCTTTAACTACCCAAAGGGGGATCCAAAGAGGATGAAGCTAGATTGTTCTCAGTGATGGTAGATGACAGGACAAGGAGCAATGGTCTCAAGTTGAAGCAAGGGAAGCTTAGGTTAGATATTAGGAAGAATTTTCTCACTAAGAGAGTGGTGAAGCACTAGAACAGGTTGCCTAGACAAACTGTGGAATCTCCATCCTTCAAGGTTTTTAAGGCCCAAGTTGACTGAGCCCTGTCTGGGATGATCTACTTGGGGCTGGTCCTACTGTGAGCAGGGGGCTGGACTAGATGACTTCCTGAGGTCCCTTCCAACCCTAATTTTCTATGATTCTGTGTCACACCCAGTATACACAAACACAAGCACATGCAAAGTGTTGTAGTACTAAATAGGTAAACATAGAACAAAAGAAAAAAAGAATTTTCCTTGTGATCATTTCTATTTAAGTGAATGGGAATGTGTGTAATTAAGCATAAGACTAAGTAAGAATGAGCTCTTTTCAGGACTAGAAGTGAAATTGCAATACCAGTGAACTCAGTACCAAAAATCACTTGGACATTAAAAAGGCCAGATTTCATTCCAAGTCTTTGGTTTATCTTTGTCTTGCATGATCCCTGTGCCTAGATTACTTTCATTTCAGTACCAAGATCACATAATTCCTCTCATAATGGGTTTCCATACCTATTGCATCTGAAACATATCTGCATCAATGTTGATATATTATGGTTTGCATAGACGTGCCACCACTTCTATTCATCATACATTTTGAAAGACAAATTGTGTTTTTCTTCCCTTCTCAGGCACCACCAACAATAACAATTATCTCAGAGCCCAAATTATTTTTACTGTACTTCTGCTACTCCACCTTTACTTTTTAACCCAATTATAATTTGGAAATCCCATGAGCCTTCAAAGATTTATACAGGTATAACACAGGCCATAGTTTTTGACCGACAGGTTTATATTGATGTGTGATGTGAACAATAAAATTAAACATACATTTGGATGATGGGGGCTGTTCAGGACAGAGTAGGAGAGAAAAGATCCACTAAGTGAACTGGATTAATTTAACCTGGAAACAACTGATAGCAATTATGAAATTGTATATGTCCATTTCCCCCCTCCCCACCACCATTTTTGTCATGATTAATCATTGTATTTTCATTTACAAAGTCTCTCTCAACCCTATCCTTACATCTTTGCCCCTAAACATAACCTTTTTCTTAAAATAAAATAAAATAAAATAAAATAAGGCAATCATTTATACTAATTTGCGGCAAAATTACTGTAGTATTTTCCTTCAACCCAGGAGAAAAATCATTCTTATGTTATGGTTGGGCATATACTTGTTATCTTTAATATATATACAAAACCAGTATTTTCCCCAGTTAGATAACTATGCGAGAGGCAGGTGCTCCTGATCCTGGAGGATCGACACTATCTTTCTAACGGAATTTATGCCCCCGCTCGGCAGTTAAAAGGTTATAAACTATTCTAGAATTCAAGTGTCTCTAGTTTTGAAGGTTGCAATAACTTACTGAAGGGACGGCAAGTTTAGAAGTAAAACGATTGTAACCAATGTAATCGTATAGTGTTTGGCAACTGTTTTCTGATTGGTTAAAATTGAATTCGCACTTTTAGCCAATGGCGCATTGGTATTTGAAGGTGACCAATTAGGAAGAAGTGCACGAATGACGCACTTAAGAACTTGTAGCAAATAAGAATGAAACGCACAGAAGGTACTGATTTGCATAGGTCCCCTATAAATAGAGGGGAGTTGGCCCTCGTTTTACTATTGTTCTTGACTTGCTCTGAGGGGGGGGGTGCTTAGCAACATGCCTGAGCCCGCCAAGTCCGCCCCCGCTGCCAAGAAGGGCTCGAAAAAAGCCGTGACCAAAACCCAGAAAAAAGGCGACAAGAAGCGCAAGAAGAGCAGGAAGGAGAGCTACTCCATCTACGTGTACAAGGTGCTGAAGCAGGTGCACCCGGACACCGGCATTTCGTCCAAAGCCATGGGCATCATGAACTCCTTCGTGAACGACATTTTCGAGCGCATCGCCGGGGAGGCGTCCCGCCTGGCGCACTACAACAAGCGCTCGACCATCACGTCCCGGGAGATCCAGACCGCCGTGCGCCTGCTGCTGCCCGGGGAGCTGGCCAAGCACGCCGTGTCCGAGGGCACCAAGGCTGTCACCAAGTACACCAGCTCCAAGTAAACGGGTTCCTTGCATCGTTTCACCCAAAGGCTCTTTTAAGAGCCACCCATATTTTCAGTAAAGGAGCTTTATTGCTGTCTTGTTTCTATATTCGTGGGGCAAAGGGTATGTAGAAAAAACTTTTTTTTAAATCTTTAGCTTAAGGCTGTGCTATTCTTTGTACGTGGCACTAGCTAAATCCAACGGGGAAAGGGAAATCAAAGTAGTCCATGCTTTTAAAAAATAAGTTAGGCTTTCCATATTTAATCACATAGTTTAAGTGTCAAGCTCTGAACAGTCACGTGAACTGTTTAGAGTACCTGAAAATCAAATTGTCACGTTCTTTCATAGTTTCATAGATGTTAGGGTCGGAAGGGACCTATTAGATCATCGAGTGAGACCCCCTGCACTGGGCAGGAATGAGTGCTGGGGTCAGATGACCCCAGCCAGGTATCCGTCCAATCTCCTTTTAAACACCTCCAAGGTGTTTAAAAGGACAGCGCCACCTCCCTTGGAAGCTTATTCCATATTTTGGCAACCCGCACTGTAAAGAATTTTTTCCCGATGTCCAATCTGATTTTGCTCTCTTCCAGTTTTCTTTGTTACCTTGCAAGCCTTTTGGGATTCTGTTGAACTTTTTGGGTTGTTCAGGTGACCCGGTCACTGATCAAGGGAGTCTATTTATATTCCGAGCCCTACACACTACCTATATTTAAGTCCTGTGTCTTATCTTATTCTCATCACTTCCTGAAAAATCACAGCTGCCGAGTAGAAAATAGCTAGCCTTCCCACTGAACACGAGTCCTTCCATTTGCTTCCAGTATTGCTAGTACTAAGCAAGAAGAGAGGAAAGGTTTGAATACAGCGTAACTACAGCTTTCTCGAGACCCGTGTTGCTCAGTTGAATGCTGCCATTCAGAAACCGCGCCTGGAGTCCCACCATGAAAACTAGGCAACTTGTAGTGACCCTGAAACTTTGAGGGGTATTGCTCTTCCCTGATCTGTCATGAGTGTCCCCAGTCCAGCTGAACCTCTTGTGCTCGGATCCATTTCTCCCCCACCCCAGTTAATATTGCTGCTACAATGATGGCACTGAGGTATGAGCACCGTATTCTCCCCTTTGTGAAGGCGACTGTGCCATGTACTAAATCCTTCAGATAGTCCGGGTGGCGGCAAAACTCGTCTCCTTTTGAAATGCGACCTAGGCGGGAATAGAAACCGGTCAGGAGCCTACATTCCCAGGGCATGGACAGCTCATATGCACCTCCCGACGGTTGTACGCGAACGAGTGATGATAAAACATAACGTTAGTTAATTGATCTGTAGAATAAGCGCTTGATTTCAAATGATTGTGCACTGAAAGGCCCGGAGGGTTAGACGCAGGGCGGCAGTCTGACCAATCCCTCCGCAGCGCGGGCTTTTCAAAGTTTCCAACTGTTTGAATGCCATTTCCAGCCGCCAGTCAGCAGCGGGATCGCTTCTTGCTGTGCCCGCTGCGTGGCCCCCGCCTCGCGGACGTGGGGCCAACACAATCGAACAGCAAGTCCAGCTTTTGCAGCCCCACCACGACTGGTAAAGGAAGTCAAATCGCGTTTCGCAAGTCATCATGTGCTTGCTGTTTGGGGATTTATAGCCTTGACTGTCACTTTAAACCGCTGCAGGCGCGGGAACGCACGGCGGCACCGGGACCTGGCAGACCCCAGGGGCGAAACCCGGCTGGGCTAGTTTTAAATGTGCGCTACGTGTAGACTCACCGCCTCGCCCCGGGCACTAGGGGGCCGGCGGCACCCGCTACTGGTGCTGTGGGGAAGTGTTTCAGCTCCTTTTAGGAAAGGGTGGGTGGCTCTTAAAAGAGCCGTTGGGTTTGCATGAATAATCGTCGGAAGCCGCTTTACTTCTTCTTGGGCGCCGCCTTCTTGGCCTTGGCTGCCTTGGGCTTGCTGGGCTTGGGCTTGGCAGCCTTGGGCTTCACCGCCTTGGCCTTGGCCGGGCTCTTGGCGGCTCGCTTCGGCTTGGCCGCCTTGGCCTTCCTGGGGCTCTTGGCCGCGCTCTTCTTGGCCGCCGCGGCCGCCGGCTTCTTGGCTTTCTTGGGGCTCTTCTTCACGGCCGCCGCCTTCTTGGGCTTCTTGGCCGCACTGGCCGGCTTCTTGGCCGCCGCCTTCTTGGGCTTGGCCACCGTTGTCTTCTTTTTCGTTGCTTTCTCTTTGGCTTCACCCGGTTTCTTATTCAGCTTGAAGGAGCCCGAGGCGCCGGTGCCCTTGGTCTGCACCAGAGTGCCCTTGTTCACCAGGCTCCGGAGCCCCAGCTTAATGCGGCTGTTGTTCTTCTCCACATCGTAGCCGCCGGCTGCCCGCGCCCTCTTCAAGGCCGCCCG